GGGAAAGAGAGCGGCTTCTCCCTGTCTTCCTCTTTTACAAAGAAGAGCAAAGAAAATGAAGGAGTGGAGGTAGAGGAGGAGAATATGGGGAGACAAAGGATAAAGATTAAGAATAATTAGTCTCTGACTGCTCATCTCACTGTCATAGTTCAGTGTGTTTGGCCCAGAGTCTTTAGATTTTTGGTGGCTCGTGATTTTTTTCTTTTGGACTTAAGAGAACTCTTAAGTCCTTTGAGTATTATAGTGAGTTTTCTTTTCTATGATAATCAGATGATCTTAGTTTCCTTTCATGTCCTGTCTGTCTTATCCCGTCTCTGTGTTTGAAGTCTCCTGTATGAAGTAAGTCCTGTCTCTGTTTGTTTTGCTTTCTGTCCTTGTGGCAGGTCAAGTGCCTGATCGTAGGTAGCTAAAAGCATCTTCAGGTCTGACAGCATAGGGATGTTCAGCTGCTACAGTTTTTGCCTTGCAGTTAGAGGTTTCTTATTCTGAAGGTGGTTCCTTTAACATACTTTAGGGCCCTTTCATAGACGAGTAAAAGTTTATTATAGTAAGATTTAACTATTGAAAGCAAGTGGAATAACTACCAGCATCCAGTGTGCCCAAGTGAAGTAAAATAAGTTATGCAGGTCAGTTTGTGTTGCTCAGAAGCAGTTTGCAAAAAGTTGCTTATGTTATTTTTCCCAACTTTCCCCCCCATGTTCTTTTATGTGACGTTTCAGTGTGTCAGGGTCTTGTCTAAGTGTTAGTCATTGACTTCCCATTTTATTTGATGGTCATTTGTCTCTTATGCTTTGTATTTAGTTTTACTTCCTGCGTCATTAATTCTGATGAGTCTCACCTGTGTGTTCAGTCGTTCCCTATTCCCCTGATTAGCTCTAATGTGCATAAATTAGTATGAAAAGCACAACATGTATTAGTATAAATAATTTCAGTTATCCTTTGTTCTTTGTGACCTTGTCTGATTTTCAGTCGGGATTTTGTTTGTTGCTTTTCTTCTGAATTTTTGTGGTGTTCTTGCTGGACTGTCACGGGTTGCTCTGAGGATCCACACGCAGGACTCCGGGGTTGGGATTTAACAGAGAAAGTTTTATTTACAATTTCTTCACCAAGTGTATTTACAGGCAGTGCGGAAATTGTGCTATTTACAAGACGTGAGGGGCGGGGTTCCAGGGAAAAAGGGAAATCACACACAC